GACTTCGAAAGGTCGATGGAGACTCGACCTCTGCGCCCGAGTCCCAACGCCATCCCTATGACCAACATGGCGTCCAGCGACCAGTTATTGACTCCCTCGTCCGCCATCCTTCGCCACGAGACGACCTGCACGACGACCACCAGCTTCACGAACGGCGCCGCGCGCGAGGACGGCGGCGCCAAGAGGACCCAGTCGCAGGAGAAGCTGCTGAACAAGCTGGTGGTGAACAGCCCTGCGCAGGACTACGGGGGCGTGGGGGGCGGAGGCCAGAGCGAACACAACAGCCTCGAAAGGGCGCATCCAGAGTGACTTCCTTACGAGCGAAAGCCTTTCAAAAAAAAAAAAAAAAAAAAAAAAGAGAAAATCCCCGTTTTCGATTATATTTGTTTTCAGCAGCCTCGAAAAAGGACATCTGGATTATTGTTTTTCTTTGAGACATTGCGTGTTTTAAACGCAGGGTCGAGAAACGACGAAGAAACGTATCAGGAGTAAACAAATAAAAAAACGAAGTGAGTTATCCATAAAAAAACTTATGGCTCCAAAAGTGTATGGTTACAAATAAATGTTATCTTATTATCTTTATTGTAATTAAAATATCAGAAATATGAAGTAGGCATATACACACATATATACATATGAATATATGAATATATATATTTTTGTAAATAAGCAAACTTAACATATATTTATTAAGATACATATGCTGTTTACATTATAGAATTGCATATTAAACGCAAGTATTAAACTTATATAAACTGGGTTTCCAATGGAGATTTGTTCTTTATCATGAATCATTGGGTCCATCCTGTTTCTTTATACCCGACTCTACCAATCTTCCTACGACTCGTATCGTCAATATGAACCCAATTGCGAGATCGTTCGATGGGAATGTCAGCTGAGGCGGCGACGCGCAGCCCTTCAGCAGCGGCGACGAATCCCCTTCAGTCGCACCCTTTCAGCTGGTTCCTCTCGCACCCTTTCAGCTGGTTCCTCTCGCACCCTTTCAGCTGGTTCCTCTCGCACCTTTTTCTAAGACTGCCGTTTGTGGGTGTCACGCCGCCGGAAGCTGGTCAGAGACTGTCAACATAGACATGTATATATGCAAATATATACATATATACATATATATATATATATATATATATATATATATATATATATATATATATATATATATATATATTATGTATACATATATACATTATATATATATATATATATATATATATATATATATATATATATATATATATATATATATATATATATATATATATATATATATATATATATATATATATATATATATATATATATATATATATATATATATATATATATATATATATATATATATATATATATATATATATATATATATATATATATATATATATATATATATATATATATATATATATATATATTATATATATATATATATATATATATATATATATATATATATATATATATATATATATATATATATATATATGTATGTATGTATATATGTATGTATGTATGTATTCATGTATATATGTATATGACATATACATATACACGAATGTATATATATTATCGTAGAAATTATAATGGCATATGCTCAAAAAATTAACCTTTTTTAGTTAGTATCTGAGACCCATATCGAAGTATGTTGGACTGATATGCTTTTGAGCCCCGCATGTCAGCCCAAACCTCGATCTATCTTGGTATATTTGTCAATACGATTATTTGGCCGGGAATTTCCACTCTAATAGCAAATATGAGTTCATGATAAGAAGGGAAATATGATATATATATATATTATACAATTGCTCTATACATTCAGGATTAGATTTACTTTATGATCATACAGATTGTATAAATGTTTGTTTGTTTGTTTTCTCTTATTATACTGAATATAAATAATTTATGTCATTACTGTATAGTGTCATTATCATAAAAAGATGTGTTTTCATGTTATAGTAACGTTAGTGTATTCGTTGTTAGTCATATAATGAACTATTGTTTGAGGTAACCATGTAATATATTAAAAACTTCTGTATTTGCAGGAAGATAATTATCTATAAATGTAAATAATTCTTGTACATTATAATAGCCACAATCCTAATTCTACGGACGAATTAACATCTAGACTGCATACTGCATGTCCCAAGACGTTCTTTTAAGCCATATAACCTTGAGCGACGCAAGTATTTCTCTGTAGTTTTTTTGTATAGATATTGAAGTCGACCGGAGCTTCCAGTGTTGAGTTGGAATAATACTGCTACAGTAAAGTTAACCAGTGAAAGAGTAGTTTTAATGAAGATTTGGATTGTAAAGGTATTGATTCCCAAATCAGCAACTTCGTTAGATGTACCAGGGAAGATATTCACACACACACACACACACACACACACACACACACACACACACACACACACACACACACACACACACACACACACACACACACACACACACACACACAACTGGTATTGAATGCTTTAGCCTGATA